CATATCCAATGATACTTTACATCAATGTACTTCGACCTTGAGTGAAATGTTAGATTCTTGTTCAAGTGGATAGCACTTTGGTTGTCACATAAGAGAACATACTTCTCTTGCTTTAACCCTAATCCATGTACAAGTCTTTTGATCCATAGCATCTCCTTGCATCCCTCTGCCACTGCAATGTACTTGGCCTGCATGGTAGATAAAGCAACATATTTTTGCAACTTGGATTGCCAAGAAATAGCTTCCCCTGAAAAAGTCATCAAGTACCTTGATGTGGAATTTCTAGAATCAATGTCTCTAGCCATGTCTGCATCTGTGGAGCCTTCTAGCTGAGATTTTCCATCTTTAAAGCATAAACTCATCTTGGAAGTGCCTCCAAGATATTTGAGAATCCGTTTCACCGCAATCCAATGATCTTTTCCAAAATTGGAAATAAATTTACTTATAACGCCAACTACATAAGCTATATCCAGCCTAGCGCACACCATAACATACATCAAACTACCAACGACAGATGTATAGGGAACTCTCTTCATTTTATCATTTAATGTCTCACTTGCTAGACACTGCTTCGAACTACGTTGGAAGTGATTTGCAAGTGGAGTCCTCACCGATTTCGCCTTATCCATGTGAAATCTTTCAAGCACTTCCTCAATGTACCTCTCATGTGATAGCCAAATCTTGCAATTCTTCCTGTCACGAGTAATCTTCACGCCAAGTATTTGCTTCACAGGACCCAAATCTTTCATAGCAAAGGACTTGCTAAGCTCTTCCTTCAACTTATCAATTTTGCTCGCATCATGCCCAACTATTAACATATCATCCACATAAAGTAGCAAAATGATGAAGTCACCATCTAAGAATCTCTTTACAAAGATGCAATGATCTGAAGTGTTCCTCTTGTACTCATGATCCACCATGAAGGAATCAAACTTCTTATACCATTGTCGTGCTGCTTGCTTCAACCCATACAAGCTCTTCTTTAGTTTGCAAACTAAGTTCTCCTTACCTTTCACTTTGAACCTCTTGGGATGCTCCATGTAGATCTCTTCTTTTAAGTCATCATAAAGGAAAGTCGTTTTCACATCAAGCTGCTCAACCTCTAAGTTCAAGCTTGTGGCCAAACTAAAAACAACTCGTATAAATGATATTTTCATTACGGGTGAGAAGATTTCGTCAAAACCAATTCCCTTTTTTTGGCTAAAACCCTTCACAACCAATCTTGTACTTAGGCTATGAGTTTCTTTCTTTTATCTTCAATTTGTAGACCCATTTGTTCTTGAGTGCTCTTTTCCCCCAAGGAAATTTCACCAAGTCATAAGTATGGTTCTCATGTAAGGATTTCATCTCTTTTTGCATGGCTTTCAACCACTCCACTTTATGCTTGTGAGTTGTAGCTTCTTGATAGCACTTTGGTTCTTCCCCATCTGTAAGCATCGCATACTCATTAGGAGAGGACCTTATTGAAGTCTGATGCTTTCTAGTAGATCTTCTCAACTGTGGTTCTGTTGGTGGCTCAAGAGGTGCTTGTTCCTCTTGCTCTTCTAAATCCATCACATCATCACTAACTATATCACCAACATCTTCTTGTACATCTCCCTTATTATCATTATGCACCATGGGTGGAGGGATTGGATCCAAGTTTATTGGATACTCATTTGTAGAAGCTGGCTTCTTAACTCTATCAAAGTCTTCAATGACTTGATCCTCAAAGAAGATTACATCTTTGCTCTAGACTACCTTTTTGTCAATTGGATCCCATAATCTGTACCCAAACTCTTCATGGCCATATCCAAGGAATATGCAGTGATTTGTCTTTCCATCAAGCTTTGATCTTTCATCTTTAAGAATGTGCACAAATGCTTTACACCCAAACATCTTCAAATGCACAAGATCCCACCATGTCCAAACTCTGTCTAGTGTACCACTATTACGTGAAGCTGAAGGAGAAATGTTGATTAGATCAACTGCAATCCTCATTGCGTCACTCTAAAAGGATTTAGGTAGTTTTGCATGAGAGAGCATACATCTAATTCTTTCAATAATTGTTTTGTTCATTCTCTTTGTTATATCATTTTGTTGAGGTGTCTTGGGAATAGTTCTTTCATGCTTGATGCAAATCTTCTTACAGTAATCTTCAAACGAACCCTTGTATTCACCACCATTATCTAACCAGATACATTTCAATGATCTCTATTAAAAGGAAAGTTATGTTGTTTTCCAGCAAAATAATGAATACAAGTTTTGAGTTGTGTACCTTTCATTTCAGAAAGGAGATCTTTCCTAGCTAGAACTTGCATGCCTTTCTCACTCATATGACCAAGCCTTTTGTGTCATTGCTCTATAGAGATCTCTTTCTCAACTGCATTGACTTCACCTTTACCTAGCTTTGCTTTCATCATATAGAGAGTGAAACATTTCTTTCCTCTTGCCACTATCAAGGAACCTTTGGTGAGCTCTCATTTTCCATCACCAAATTAATTTTTGTAGCCTTCATCATCAAGCTTCCCGGTGAAAATCAAATTCAGACAAATGTCTAGAACATGTTTTACATTTTTAAGAACCAATCTGCAACCAGTGTTGGTCTCCAAGCAAAAATCTCTCATTCCTACAATCTTAGACACACCATCCTTGCTCATCTTCACATTGCCAAAGTCACCAAGTGTGTAGGATGTAAAGAAGGCCTCACGTGAAATAACACGGAATGAAGCATCTGGATCAATCACCCAACTGGAATGATCATGCCATGTGAGCCCAACAAAGTCATCATCATTAACGATGATAATATCACCATTCTTAGAAACAATTCTTTCTCACCTTTGTTTCCATCACCTCTTTCTTTCTTCTGCTCTTTTTTAAGCTTTCGACATTCCTTTTTCATATGCCCCTTCATGCTATAGTGATAGCACTCAATGCCTTTCTTGGATTGGGATTTTCCTTTAGACTTGTCCCTTGACTTGTCTCTTAACTTGTCACAGTTGTAAATTTTTTTTTCTACTTCTTTCCCTATTTTTTTAAGTAACAAAGTCTGTAACTCACTGGAAGTACCCTGCTCCTTTCTTCTAACATATTCCGTTGAACATGCTATCTTTCACCATATCCATGGTAACCATACCATTTGGAACCGAATTGCTTATGGTCACAACCAAAGTTTCCCAACTATCAGGTAAAGAGTTCAATATCAATAGTGCTTCCAACTCATCATCTAGCACCATCTTCATCGTTGTCAACTGATTAATCAAGCTTGGAAGTCACTTATGTGCTCCACAACATTGCACCTATTTTTGTATTTCAAGTTTACAAGCCTTCTAATTAAAGATAGTTTTCCTCTTATACATAGCTTCTAATTTCTTCCACAAAGTGTGAGCATTGGTTTCTGGAGCCACATGGTGAAGCACACTTTGATCAACCCAATGGCAAATTTGAACACCTGTTTTTCTATTCATTATCATCCAATCTTCAACATCTACGTCATCCAACCTTTTACTTTCACCACTAATCGGTCTATTCAAGTCCTTAGTGTAAAGGACATTCTCCTTTCATGGTTTTCAAATTGCATAATTCGAAGAGGTCAATTTTGTCATAGCTCCTGAATTATCTTCTATTCTAAAATTCACACAAGAATTTTATCAAACACTTGTATGTGCTTTGATACCACTTGTTGGGAAAACCCCTATATTTTTCCCTCCTTGTGTAATTATAAAATGGGCAACAAATCACAAATAACAAAAAATAATATGGCTAAAAAATTAAAAGCAACAAAACAATCACAAAACACCAAATTTACGTGATTTGTCAAAAATGCCTTCGTTTACGAGTCTAACTCCGAATCAACTTCCACTATAAAATAATGAGGTTACAAGATATCATATCTAATAACAACTAGAGGCATAGAATCATCAAGATAATAGTCTTGGGTCACTAATCAACAATTATATTATCACCACTAAGGTGAGTTTCAACAAAATCAACAAGAGATGAAGTTTAGGCATCAAAATAGATATCCCAAACTACCAATCCAAGAGATTTTTGACAAGATCCACTCCGATTAAAACGTAGAGCTCGTCTTCATGAACAACCCATTGGAATTTCATCAAGATCTAGTAAGAAATGACAAACCAATCTTGACTTGAACTATGGAAGAAAACCTAGCTCTTTCTTCACTTTCTTCCCTCTCTCGACTCTTTTCTATTTTATTGTTGTGTGTGTTGTTTGAAATTAGAGACCAAAAGTCTCTTTTCCATCCTTTGGTCTTTGGAAGTCACAAAGCTTCCAAGAGAAGGTTTACAAACAATAATCAAACAAAAAACTTGTTGACTCATTTGAGTCTTGTATGGACCCAACCACAATTAGGAGAGATACCACCCAACACAATTTATGTGTTTAGTTTATAAAAAAAAGGTTTATCTTCTGATGAAACTAATGTATTCCAATATATTCTTTAGAACATTTTCAATTGTCTCTCCATGAAGAAAAACTCTTTGAATTCTATCTAAATAAATAAATAAATAAAGGGCATTGTTATTCTAATATAAAAGTTAGACTCATTTTTCAAACTCATTGATGTGACAATCAATCTAAGGCATCTCTCTCTCTCTCTCTCTCTCATATATTCTTTAGTCATTAGCCAATCATTATTTTTATACATCACTAGGTAAATGTAAATGAAATATAAGTTAATTTTTTTTTCTATTTTTCTTTTTCTTTTTAAATTTCTATCAGAAGTAATGATCCAAACATGACGTAAGGAAATATAGAATTGACAAATAGTTTCATGGATTCAATTCTAATAATCTAAAAATTTTGGACATTCTCAAGATAAAAAAAAAAGTAACAATGGATATCAAATCCCACTTATACCTTGCCCCCCCTAGAGAGTGATTTTTATAGAGTAAATGATATACGGACAGAATATTGAATTTTCATACATCTATAAATTTTGATTGAAGAAACCAAAAATTATACATGCTTGGAATTCTTCACCTTGTTGCTGATGGTAACTAATAAAAAAGCCGATCACTTTGCTTGCCAAAAATGCCAGGGCCATATGTTGAAGAGATGAGATCCACAAGGAGGGGAAACTGCAAGGACACGAAAGAAGTGATTGGTAGACATGCCAATGTAGCCACTGGAATAAGTGTCCATTCCTTATTGTTGCCAAACACAAGATAGAGTGCGGAACTGAAGGCTAGAATCATGGTTGTTATGGACATGAACAAGGTAACAAGACCAATTATCAACCTCTTAGGCAAAACATAAAGAAAATCACTCTCTGCATAGCGCGAAGTGAGGATGGACAAGAACATTAATAGAGACATGGTGGATGTGAACAGAGAGATTGCATCTGAAATAATGAAGACAACAAATGCGTTTTCTTTTGAGAAAACTGGGACGCCATTTGTGCCATTGATGCCACCTGGAACAATGATTACAGCTGCAAATGCTATAGTGGCAATGAGTGTTGCCGCTATTGTGCAGGAGTACGCAGTGTCTTTCATCCATTTTTCTCCACCTTCTACTAATTTTTTGTGTTCGTTGGTAAATACCATTGAAGGAAATTCATTTTTATTGTTTGAAAGCTCTTTGTAATGGGGTATTACAAACTTCTCCACTTCCCGCATGATAGCCATAGATTTGAAATAATGAAATATATTTAACTTGTTTCTTAGATAAGGTTAGAAACTAAATTTTGAATTTATATTTGAACCAAATTTTGTACTATGCTTTACTAATGAAAAACATGCACATGCTCACAAATAAATGTACAGCAATGCTAAGTATCATGAAAAACCTTTCTTGAAAATAATCATGAAAGTTTTATGACCCTTGGATTACATTTAGAATAAAGCACCACAAACTAATCAAGGTAATCCAAAGATTATAAATCTTTCATGATCATTTTCATGAAAAAAATTTCATGATCCCTAACTTTTCTCATAAATGTAATAGACTGCAATGGCATGATAATAAATTTGGGTATCAAATTTTGAATGACATTTGTTCCATACTAATGCATTGTTGGCATATCAGATATCCAAAATTGATTACGCAAGTTTGATTACCATAACATCATTGTTATAAATAAGTAATGGAATATTAGAATGGAATATATTTATTACCTTAAACCATTGTAACTCACGTTGCATTTGCAAAGCTGCACCTGGAACAAGATTGAGCTTGTGAAAAGGTGCTAATCGTCCAGCCAAGTGCAATATATTGTTCGAATTACTGTCGCACATGGCTAACATAGCTATTTTATGCCCGCTCATTTGATATATGAGGTTGAAAACATTTTCACAACGACATATAACTGCCAGTCCAAATATGTTATGTTTATCTTCGTTCACAGACCAGATTGCTTGAGGAAATGATTCAACAACCTCTTCAACAACCTCATGAATCCCATACCTTGTAGCTATATGGATTACATCGCAAATTATTTCATAAACCTCTGAGTCATTTGAAGATCTGATTTTCTCACAAAAGGATTTGACCAGTTGAATTGCTTGAAAATGGATCAATTTTTGCTTTTGGACATGTTTTATGTGAGGCACTGCAATAATAGAACTCAAAGATGCAGTAAATTTTGTTGAAAGTGTATAATCAAACAAGAAGACTAATTGAATCAATCTATATTTTAACTAAGTGGTATTCCTTGTCAATTACCTAATAATTCAAGAACTTTCCAAAGCATAGCCTGCAATTTTTGGCTCACTGTATGTCATAAAACAAATTAAACTTGTTGGTATATGGAAGGAAATGTTAAATTTAATAACAAAGGCGTTTGAACTATTCCCAGTAAAAGATATATTTAATTAACATATAAGTGTATTGAATAATCAACAAACTAGCACAAATTTTGACAAGTGAGTTTTATCAATTATTCTCATCTAAAATCCTGTCACATTTTTAAAAAGGTAATACACTCTAATGATATGCTACCCTAAAATGAGGACTAATAAATTTGCCACTACATTTTATATGCAATTTTAGAGATGATGATCTAATTGCTATTCACTCCCAACGCCATTGCGTGGATTTGAATTGTGAGAATCAATTTCCCCATGGAAAATAGGGGAAATCTTCTTACAAATAACGTCTCTTCAAACCATACTACAAGCTCGATTGAAGCCCGAGTATGACTGTTTTTTCTCAAAGGGTAGACATGCACAGACCTCCCTTGAGATTCATGACTAGTTGAAATTCTCCTTGACAATCCAAAAATTACACTGATTCCCGTATTAGAGTTTGAATTTCAATAGGATTAACTAAAGTATAAAAGTACTAAATTACCCTCACCTAATAATGCCAAATTGCCTTCCTAGCGTAATTATTTCATCAGTCTCTATGTTTCCTACCAATACCCACCACCTCACCTCAACCGCCTTACTTTATCCCTTTCCCTTTTCACCTTCTTTTCCCTAACGCCCATCTACCACTATGAACGACAAGCCCCTTACTTCTACTACCTCTGTGTGGTCACCATCTCCACCTCTATGCATCTACAACCTTACCTCTATCCCTACCTTTCTGTGACCATTGCATCCACAAACATGTAATGGCCACTGGTGTTTTGTGGCGTTCGGCATGTGAAGGTCACTGGCATTCGCCATGTGATGAATCCTTTTCTAAGTCGATTATTAAGACCCAAATTTACTATTCTTTTCTTTCTCTTCTCCTCGCTTCCCTTTTTTCGCACCTCTCTCTCTTTCGATTACTCTGTTCCTTTTATTCTGCCACAGCATGCCTCTTTTTTCCATTGCCTAATGCCATAAGCTTATGACCACACTAAATTCATTTTCCAAAGTCCCTTGGAGTTTTGATGTGCATTGATTTGATGATTGGAAGGTTCGTGGGGATGGATGTAATTTTTTTGACACGGTTATTAGGAATGGTTTTTTGGTTATTGGCAATAGATTATTGGAGTGATTGTTGGGGAGTCATTTTCTATATCATCGTGACACCACCACTTTCTCTTGTACCATCCCGATATTCTCTCTCTCTCTTTCTCTCTCTCTCTCTCTCTTCCTTGGTTATGGTCGGATTGATAAATGGCAATTTAGCTAGGTAGATTGGTTGTAATGGGGTATCAATTATTGGTATTTGTTGGTGATGGCTGGAGAGGGTTGGAGGTGTCAGTAGTTGGTGATGGCTTGGGAGTGGGAGGTAGTGATAGTTGATGGCTGATAGTTGCAAAAGTGGTGGAGGATGGAACTCTGTTTCTACATTTCAATGGAGAAGGAGAGACAAATGGAACTATTGTGTAAAAGAATTTAATAAAGGAAAATATGACATTTTCAAAAAATTAAATGTTGATATAAGTAAAATATGTTAGTTGATTTAAGTGTCAACTAACATTGGGGAATTTTTTAGAGTGCAATTATTAACCTTAATGAGGGGATGTAATTTCCAAAGCTCTAAAGGTACTAATGTATTGAAAAATGTTACACATAATTTTATTTTTTATCTTCTTTTCTCATATCTAGACATAAGTCAACGGACTCATGTGCATTTATGCATGTGAGTAGGGGTGTGCATAATACCGCTGAAATCACTGAAACTACCAAAATTGCACCGAACCGCACCGCTAAGGCAAATTCGTTATTATTTGCCAATCCAACCGCCGGTTTTTAGTAAGAAAAATTGCAAATTCTAGTGACACTTTTATCAATCTGCCGGTTTCTATTTTTCTTCCAAACCACACCGACCCGCACCGCTATTAAATCATGTTTTATAAGATTCTAAAAATTCTTTTTTACTTAAGTTTGCTTGTTGTTCTATACCTTAGAATATAGTATTACATTACTGCTCGAGGGGAATTCAAGATGTCAGCAATCCAAAATAAAGTTGGATTCCAATTCACTTTTCAATCTTTTTTTTTTCTGGCCTTGTTGCAAACTTGCATCAGCTTACTTTTCAATCTAAATACTTTTCAACAGTAAACATTTTCAATATATTGTAAACCCTGAATGATATTAATTTTATGTATTGTATTTGATCATTGTAACTTCCACAGATGCTTGTGATGAATTGATGGCATAGTCGTTGATATTATCATGTTGTTGCTACACTTGTTGCATTAGAAGAAAGCTTCGCAAGCTGTTAGTATCACGGTATCTCTCATCTTTTTTTTACTCTTTGATTTAAGTTTTGTAATTTGAATTATATTTTTTATAAACCGCCAATCCGCCCGAACCGCCAAGGCAAATCCACCATTATTTGCCAACAAAACCGCCGGTTTTTGATAAGGAAAATGGCAAATTCTAGTGCCACTTTTATCAATCCGCCACCCGCCATACGGTTTCTATTTTTCTCTCAAACTGCACCGACCCGCACCGTGCACACCCCTACATGTGAGCCCCATTACTTCATATCTTGAAGTGAAAAAATGAGATAAAAAATAAATTATGTATAACATCACTCTAATATATTAGCTTGAAACCTCATAAAGTGTCAATGTAATTAAAAATAAATAAATGTATATGCTAATTGTTTACCTCCCAAATTTTGTCTTGCACCTACGTGCCACTTTATATAACTTTATATTTTTAATGTGTCACGTCTAAAGGTATCAAAATTATTTCACTATTTTAAATTATTTATTATCCAATTAAAATTATTATTCATAAAAAACTCTAATACAATCTTTCATCAATTAATTTAGCTCTATCTTTCCTAATCCAACCATCTATGAAATTAAATTATTTGTTTTTATTTTGAAATTTTAATATTTTAATTTTAATTTATTAATATATTACTACCCTTAAATCTACACTTGCAACATTCAAAATGAATAAAAGTAAATAAAATAATTAAAATCACTCTTTAATTTTAAGATTGTTATTCTTTCTAATTTAGGGAAAGTACTAATAAATCTCATTTTCATATTTTAGTAACCAATAAGTCCTAGAAATAATCTAATGAACCCAACAGTCTTTTTTGTGTGGAAATGAAAATATAACCCTATAGTTTATACGTATGGATGCTAGTTAATACCCATAAATGATCGAAATCCTCACAGTTTGAAATTATACATTTGCCAAAAATTTACTAAGGCGTTTTTGTACTCCTTTTGGAATGTTTAAAGAATTCCACATTTTAAGCCCTTCCAAATCAAAACCCTACAATTTGAAATTATACATTTACCCAAAACTTACTAAAGGGTTTTTGTATTCATTTTGGAATGTTTGAAGAATCCCACCAATTTGAAATTATATATTTGCTCAAAACTTACTAAAGAGTTTTTGTATTCATTTTGGAATGTCTAAAGAATTGCACATGCTTTTGGAATGGTTTGAAGAATCCCACATCATTTTTTGAAAGTGTTATATTGGAGTGTTACTTTGGAAAAAGTACACTTAGAAGTTTTTTTTGTGTGAAGTGTTATAGTTTGAAATTATACATTTTCCCAGAGCTTGCTAAGAAATTTTTGTACTCATTTTGAAATGTTTGAAAAATCACACATCCTTTTAGAAAGATTACTAGGAAGTTTTCTCAGGCGCATCTACAAGCCAATAACAAAGCCACTAGCAACCTTTTTCTTCTCTAGCTTGCATGTCCTCCACTTTTGTTTCGCATCATCGCTAATCTTCGACCGCCATCTGCAACCTTAGGTCAACAATCCTTGATGATAGTCAATATGAAACTTGTTGATAAATAGATCACCGTCAAATCATCAAGAAAACTCATATATAAACATCCTCCAATATAGAACACTTTGTTTTTTACTCCTCTCTAAGAATCTAGACGGGTTAAACCCTAAAAACAACAAACGACGCACTTTATACTAAACAGATCCTCGAAGACCGCTTGAACGCACACTTTACTACTCGAGCAGTGCTAGTAAAGGCGGTGCTCACATATAGGCAAACTACGTGAGCGCAACATCCACCGCTCAAGCATTAAACATATTTCTCAGAAGTTCAGTTTGCAAGTGGAGATACTAGATAAACCACATCACCGCTCGAGCCCAATTCCTATATATAGTCAACGCAGTGGCAAATAGGAAATGCTCAAGATATGGAATATCAACACAAACTGCTCTACACAGGCACAATTTGGGTTGGATTCACATCTAAATACTCATAGCTTCACTAAAACAAAAGAGCAAATAAAATTACAGCTGAAAATGAGTTTTATCAAACGAGATTGTCAATTACAACAACTTAACATGTAAATTTATAATTATTTTAAATTTTAAAAAAATCATTACACTCACCGTTGGATAATATAATGGAACCTCTCCATTACAAATATACAATGGAGAGGATCACAATCCTTTTACAATATTATAATCTAGGGTAATGCTATGGTACTATATGCAAGTTATGCCATTTGTAGGTTTGATTATCACAAATGGCATAACTCGGTATTATGGGAGTTATAACTAAACACTACATAAAGTATAACAAATAACTCTTGGATCATAACTAAAATAATGTCAACTAATATCACAATGAGTTATAACTAACAACACAATATATATTTAGGGTAAATTATACTTATCTCACCCGTGGTTTGAAAAAAATTCAGTTAACCTCCACACTTTTAACATAATTACACTAACTTCCTTTTTAATACGACTAAAGCGACCAAAAAATAATATAGATTGTGGATAAATATAAATATTAATACACAAAGATAAATATACATTTTAATAAAAAAGAGATAATAACATTTTTTTCTATACAACTAATAAATTATTGTTAAAAATGGTATAAGTGTTATTTAGTATAATTATGTTAAAAGTTTAGAGCTAACTATATTATTTCTAAACCTTACATAGGTGGGTGTAATTTACCCTTTTATTTATGTGTACAAACAAACATAAATAATGAGACTAAAATTATCATATGTATATTTATTTAAAGGGTAAATTACGTTGACCTCAGTTGAGGTTTAAATAAAATACAGTTAGTTTCATACTTTTGATATAATTATACAAGTCTCTCTTGAGATTTTAATTCTAATAACTCTTAGGCTAGTTTTGGTCAATAATTTGTTAGTTGTATGGATCAAAAGATGATATTGTTATCTTTTTTCTACTAAAATATATATTTATTTTTGTTTATTTCAGTGTTTGTCCACTATTTGCATTACTTTGATCATTACTACAAAGGAGATTTGTGTAATTATGTCAAATTTATAGGGTTGACTATATTTTTCTCAAAGTTTACAAGGGAGATCAGTGTAATTGACATTAATTTACCCTTATTTAGATGACATTTTATATCACAATAGAGCTAATATTATTAATTTGCATTGCATACATCACAATATTTTTTGAAAAAATAATTTGTAAATTATACTAATTGCCCTTGAGGTTTGGATATAATAAAGCCTCATATTTTTGACATACTAATACTAAACTTTTTTTTTATTTTTTTTTGGTAAGACTAAAACGACCAAACTAATGCAGATAGTTGGTAGACACTGAAATAAACAAATATAATTATACATTTTAGTATCAAAAAATGGTAATATCATTTTTTTCATTTATATGTCTAATGAATTATTGATGAAAAATAACCTAATTATTATGTGAATTAAAACCTAAAGAGAAATCAATATAATTAAAGTGGGGCAATTTTTTCAAACCTCACGGAAAGTGATTGTAATTTACCCAAAATAATTATATATGTACATAATAAACATATATATAAATAATTAATTAAATTTTATAAAAAAATTATTATTTTATCCCATACATCAAACAGATCGACTACTAAGTATGTTTGTATAGCGCTACTAATATTGAATTGTTGTGAATTCCTATATTCGCCAAACTTCATCCATAGCATGCCTTTATTCAAGTTGAGTTAATAAAGAATTCATAACATACCAGAATTGGGGAAGTTTGCCCCCAAAATTTGAGCCGAGCTGTGTTTCTGTGTAATAACTTGAGAGCTGTTGATTGGATTTTCAATGTCACTTCTATTGTGGTCTTGATCAGCATAGTTTTCCAACTTCACAGGAAACAAAACTCTTCAAAACAAAACAAATATATATATACATATATTAAGGTTATGTGTGATAATGTTTGTATTTTATGTTTTTTATTGAAAGGAAAACGCATTTGACAACTATTTGGAAAAATTGGTCTAACATCCCTCTCTAACTTTGGGTAATAAGAGAGGTCTATAATATTTTTTGATGGCTAAGATCCTTTACCCTTTTTCATATTGTAAAATACCTAATTTGCCCTCCTGTATAAATACGTTGATTTTGATTTGGTAATTAAAGATTAGATTTTTTTTGCTATTTTGGTGGAGATTGGGTTTTGATTTCCGATTTTTAGGTGGAGATTGGATTTTGATTTCCGATTTTTGATTTTGAATTAGGTTTCAAGGTTATTTTGAATTCTTTGTTCGTTGTTGCAGTGGAATTGATTTCGAATTGTTTGTGTTGTTGCTGTTCATTGTTCTGATTGTGTTCTTTGTTTGTTAGGTGTTCGTTGATTTCCAGATCGTGTTCGGTGTTCGAGTTGTTCGTTGATATCTGCAGTGGAGTTGATCTGGTATGTTTTTTGATTTCTGAAAGTTATTTCGAGTTGTTTGTTGTTCGATTTGTAATGGAGTTCGATCTCAGTTTTTTATGCTTTTTTGATTTGCAGAGGAGTTCGAGTTGTTTGTTGTCCAATGCGTTTCTCCATGGCATTCTTAAAATTAAAATTACTTTTTAAAAGATTATGAGTTAAGAAAATTTTAAAATATTATTATACTAATGAATGACTCAATAATATATATATATATATTTTTTTTTTATTTTGAAATTTTGAAAAGCTAAAATATTTGACTTAACTGCTATGTGGGTGTTTGAGAAGTTGCTATTTTAGTAGGCTATTTTAATTTTTGATTATTTTAGTAGGCTAAAATTTTTTGTGTTTAGGAAAATGATTAGATTTTTTTTGTAGTTGTATGTGATGTTTGTGAGAGAAAAAGTAAAATGATTATAAGTTTAATATGACATTTTGTCTTATTGGCTATTTTAACATATTTTGTCTTTTAGTGTTATTTAGCCAAAAAAAGCTTCTTCCCAAACACTCTCTATATATGTTGTGAAGGGTTAAAATATTGGCCCAAATCCAAACACAACTAAGCAGAGCGGCCCAGAGGAAAAGAGAAAGCCCAGAAAACTAAGAGGCCTATCGAAAGGCAACTTAGGAACAATGGCATGTGACTAAGCATGAGTACGATCTTCTTTTAGAAGGAGATCAACACAACATGGGAAGACCCTTGGATTCATCTTCATCCAATGGTAGAAACATCAATCAACAGGGGCAGGGACATAGACCAAGTCTATTAGAAGATATAACTGTCCGATCAGTTTAATCGAACGGACGAAGCATGTGGCAGGTTGGCCACCAACACCTGACATGATCTAGGCCATCCGCGGAGAAATGATCCAATGGTGAAAGGTGAAGATAACCTGGCCACTAGCCTGACCAAAACTCAGAAGCAGGTAAAGCCCCCAGATCAAATGTCAGTCCAACGGACGAAACTTAAAGCCAATAACAATATAAAAGTAGAAGCAGGTGAAGCAAAGAGAAGAGACTGGAGGTAAATAGGAAACCCTCTTTGAATTACACAATATATATGGCCAATGAATATTCTGACTTGATTGTCGGAGGGTCCTCCCGACCAATCCTGATCGGGGGGTAATCACTGACGATTTGGTTTCTCTTTGCAGAGTAAAAGAAAGGGCACGTCATCTCGTTTTCCCTGGAGAGAAGAATTCTACCTTCCACATATGTATAATGTTTTAAAAGAGTTAAGATAAAATATCAATTATAATACTACCATATTGATCAAATTAACAATGTTTTAAAGGAGGTAAGATTAAATGTCCAATATATTATCATATTGATTAATGTCCAATAATTTCATGACATGTGTATTTTTGTATTTTTAAAATTGAAAAAAAAAATTATATTAACACTTTAAAACTCAAATACTTAACAAAATTTGTACTTATATAATAGTATAGATTTTAAATTAAATGAGGTAGATAAATCAATAATTGAAAATTGTAATTAGTATTTTAGATATCACTTAATTTTTCCTTTTGGATTTTATGAGAGAGAATAGATTTGGGTAAATTAGGAAAGAGATGATTTTATCTTTCTTTCTAAAAACATTAATTTGGAATCATTACTATTTTTATAATTATTGGTTTAATGGGTTAGTCAATAGTGTTTTTTTAATTATTTTTTAATTAAAAAAATTCATAAATATAATTAGAAGTGTTATAGTTTTCACAAGGCTCTTCGCGAAAAGTCTCTTTTGTTTAATATATAGTACAAATATATAGATGGATAGATACATATAGATATAGTTTTGGAAGAAAATTTTAAAAATTTACTATACTTGTTGGATAAAGATTGATGTATGAAATATGGAATATTTGTTAATTTTGTAATAAATACGTTTTAGATTTTATGATAAAAATAAAATTAAGAAATAATAAAAAAAAAATTACTCTTGATGTGCATAGATTAATGTTTTTTAAATAGTAAGATTAGTGTCTGATGTATGAAATATTTATTAATTTTGTAATACATAGATTTTTGATTTTACAATGTAAATGTGTTATCGATTTTCTTTTATTTATAACTCTAGATTATGTTTGGAAATTTTAAAAATGTTCATATTAGTGAAATGACGTATATACTAATACTAAAGACATTAAATCTCATTTACCAAATCTTAAAAACTAGATCTTATTTACTTTTTTTTTCATTAATTTAAGCTAATTAAAATATATTGTCTTAAAAATCCAACAACCAATAACATTACAACATGTGTATTTTTATATTTAAAAATTTTAAATTATGAGAAATAAGAATTGAAGTTTTGAATTTCAAATACTCCCATAACCTTTTTGTTTATATTAACTAGCATATCACCCGTGCTATGCACGGGTTGTGTTTCACCACTTTATCTCTTTTTTTTCCTCTTTTTTTATACTGTATTAAAATTTAATATTTTGATATTAATCATATGTGTTAGACTTTTTAAGGAATTCATATGTGATGGACTTTTCAAGAAATTTTTTCATGCTTGTTCTTAATGTATTAAAATATTACTATGAGGGATAATAATCATGTGTTGGATTTTTCAAGGAATTCATATGTACTTCACAATTATTTCTATATATGCAAATTGTGATTTTTAAATGTCTTTTTTTTTAAATGTCTTCTTTTTTTTTATATTATATTAAAGTGTAATATTTTGATACTAATCATATGTGTTGGACTTTCAATAAATTCATATGTGTTGGACTTTTCAAGGAATTTTTTTTTTATGATAATAATCGTATGTGTTGGGATTTTTTAAGGAATTCATATGTGTTGGACTTTTCAAAGAATTTTTTTTATACTTGGGGGTTGGGAAAAATTAATAAATGCTAAGGTTTTTTTTTTAAATAAAAAATCAAGAAATTTAGATTGGGATATTGGAGCTCCCACAAGACTTTGGGGGTTAAAAACTCCATTTTTTTAATATATACTAGCGTATTACCCGTGCTGTGCACGGATTGTATTTACAATTATCTATATATGTGAATTGTGATTTTTAAATGTCTTTTTTTTTTAAAATGTCTTCTTTTTTTCCTTTTTTATATTATATTAAAGTTTAATATTTTGATAATAATCATATGTGTTGGACTTTTCAAAAAAAAAAAATTTATACTTGTTTTTAATGCATTAAAGTGTTATTATGAGGGATAATAATCATATGTTTAGGACTTTTCAAGGAATTCATGTGTTTGAATTTCAAATAATTTTTTTTATGGTTATTCTTAATGCATTAAAGTGTTATTATGAGGGTAAGACTTGGGTTAGGAGAAGTTAATAAATACTAACGTTTTTTTTTTAAATAAAAAATCAAAAAATTTAGATTGTGAGATTGGAGCTCTCACAAGGCTTGGGGTTAAAAACCATATTTTCCTTAATATATAGTACTAGCCTATCACCCGTGCTATGCACGGGATAATTATTAGATAATTATATTTATTTTATATTTATTTTAATATATAAATTATGTTTTTTAAATTGTTATAAAAAAATTTAACAATTTTATCACTAACCATAGTGTATGAGAGAAGTTGAAAAGATACTGCAGTAACTATACACAGATTGTATCTATAATTATTTGTATGAGGGGATTTTAAATGTGATCAGGAAATTTTGACCAAATCAATAAAATGCAGACATGTGGAAGACATGTGGATTGAAAAAAGTTAATAAATGCTGATCAGGAGATTTTGACCAAATCAATAAATGCTGAGTTTTTTTTTTTAATAAAAATTTAGAAAATTCATATTGGGATATTGAAGCTCCTACAGACCTTGGGGTTAAAAATTCCTTTTGCTTAATATTAGTATAGATATAGATAGATTTGTTGGACTTTTCAAGAAATTTTTTTATGATTGTTCTTAATGCATTAAAGTGTTATTATGAGGGATAATAATCATATGTGTTGGGACTTTTCAAGGAATTTATATGTTGTTGGATTTCAAAGAATTTTTTTTATGCTTGTTCTTAATACATTAAAGTAGTATTATGAGGATAAGACTGGTGAGTTGGAAGAAGTTAATAAATCTTAAGATTTTTTTTTTAAATCAAAAAATCAAAAATTTAGATTGAGAGATTGGAGCTCTCACAAGGCATTGAAAAAAGTTAATAAATGCTGATCAGGGAATTTTGACCAAATCAATAAATGTTGATTTTTTTTTAATAAAAAATTTAGAAAATTCATATTGGGATATTGAAGCTCCTATAGACCTTGGGGTTAAAAATTCCCTTTTGCATAATATATAGTATAGATATAGATATAGATAGACGTGTTGGACTTTTCAAGAAATATTTTTTATGATTGTTCTTAATACATTAAAGTGTTATTATGAGGATAGATATATCATATGTGTTGGACTTTTCAAGGAATTTATATGTGTTGGATTTCAAAGAATT